TCGTTGTCCTTATCAAGTCCATTCCGTTCCCATCTTCCCTCTCACACGGATTCGGGTTGTTCTCCCAACTGTATGTTGAGTTCACCTCATCGGGCCCCCTTAACTTCATGATGTTCGGTGGGGTATGTCTATCGATCCTTGGCCCGTCAGTATCAAACTGGGTTTGTCTCATTTGATTCATCTCGCGAGGTACTGGCGAGATTCGGCTTTGGATAGGTGCTGCAAATGCACCCAGGAATCCTCTTCGGCTAGGGTCCGTTAGCAAGCGCGGGGGCCTCTAGACTTCCAGACTTTAAGTAACCTTCTGCATGGAATCCGCCAGGACCAGTTGGCGAGAGAGCTTGTCCACCTTATCCCTGTGTCGGACATTCTCCTCCACGCTTTGGAGGAGCTCTGAGAGGGCGTTTGGCGATGGTGGGGGAGCTAGAGATGATCCTCCTACTTCTGCTTGTCCAGAGAACAACGTTGTTGGTTCTTTCGCCCGATGAATGTTCTTTCCTTTCTGCCGTGTCACTCCCTGGCGAACTGTTATCGTCGGCTTTTGTAATCTGGTGTTCTTTTTTGTTCGTTTCTAGCTGCGATCGTTCTCACAGGAAAGGGTTTCCCCCCTCCTTCTAGCGTCAAATTGTTTGGAGGATTTTCAGAGCCTGGAAAACACGATGATGGTGTGTTTTCAGAAGGCACTCCGATACCCAAATCAGAGAATAACTCGAAAAAGACCACAAAAGAACTGTTCGGAGATCGGAAAGAAGTTGGAAAACTTTTAGGAGAAAGGTGGTCTAAGAGTCCTTGATAAAGGAATGGATCTACTCGGGCCTTAGGATGAGAATGATCTTTTCGTGGTGGAAAGAACGAAAAGAAGAGTTTGAGAGTACAGGGATTTCACGATTTAGGAATCACTGTGGAAGAGGAACGAAATGAGGTGACCGGAGAGATGACCGGAAAGATGGTCAAAATTGTGTAGAATGCCTGAGCTTAAGAACCACAAGTATTTAGAGAGATATCGTGAGACTTAGGGAGGCTAAGTATGTGTAACCCTTCTCCGTAGGAGAGAGTAAAGTAATTATAGGAAATTACTTGACCTGGGCTAGCATACCGGGTTAGCCTATGGATGGTAGATCGGGTGGATCGGCCGATGACCCGATTCGGCTGAACTCTCTTACGATGGCGTCGTACCTCTGATGGTCTCACCAACTTTCTTTGGCATGTTCTGCCTGCAACGAGACTGTTTCTTGGCTTGTCCCTTTCGTTCTCAGTGTACGCGTTGACTTTCTTTGGCGTGTTCTGCCTGCAACGAGACCGTCTTTTTGCTTGTCCCTTTCGTTCTCAGTGTACGAGTTGGCTCGGCAGCTCAGATGAGGTATAGCTCTCTGCTGTTCCTCTGCTTTTCCCCTGACTCCTGCGAAAAGTCACTTTCACCTGACACACGCAAGGAAAATGCGTTAAACGCCATTTTTGTGAGTTTGTAAGAGTATGGACAATTAAATCAGATTAAGGCATATTCCTATTGTTGAATGGAGAGAGATTTGAATACTATTCCCGCTCACATGGGTTACTTATACCTGGCCCGAGTCCCTCGATACTGGGACTAGGCTGCCAGGGATGAAAGACTTCGCTCTCCGGGTACAGGCGTGGGCTACCAGTGGCGGAGCCAGAATTGTTTTTGACTGGGGGCATATAGAAATATATATAATTTAATAAATGGAGGCATTAATATTGAACACTACTAAATTACATCAACTTTTGAAAATTGGTTGGGGGCGAATGACCCCATGCTAATGCATGTGGCTCCGCCACTGTGGGCTACTCTTCCTTTTGACCACCTAGTTTCCGACTTCCTTGTTTCTGACAGTATGACTTACGCTGTTAGACACAAAGACTCCGAGAACACGTGGCCTATCATGTCGGATCTCCCAAATCCAACTAGATTCGAAGCCCAGTACTAGGCTTAGGCCGGCCCAATACAAATTCTAATTTGGTCCCTGGGGGAGGGGTGTACCTGCAAAAAGACCGTGAATGATACTTGTTCACATTTTATTCGTCCACGTAGGAAAGATCGAATTTATCCCCGACACTTTAAAACGATTAAAAAAAGAGAGATGCACAACCAATGTCTAATCCTTTTGTGGACTGACTTAAATATACAAACACATCTATTTTTTTTTTCTAATTGAATGAAATAACAAAAAATAACACACATATACATACAAAGAATAAACAAATAATTTTACTAGTTTATTATCAACAAATAATATAATTTTACTAATTTATTATTAAAAAAACAATTTTGGCTACAAGTACTCGTTTGCTCTAAACGCCCATTTTTTTTTACAGTTTGTAACCACTCGAAAATTAACTTCCAACTTGTCTGAATCATCTTCCAACCGCCTGAATCATTTTCAACCGCCTGAATCATTTTTCAACCGCCTGTTTCAAACGCTGATTACAACTAGGCCTGAATTTTTCGGGAAGGGTAACCCGTTCCGTCCCGTACCCGTCCAAAAATTCCTGAATTTTTCGGGAAAGGGAAATTATAATTTTCTATTCGGGTTTGAAAATAATATTTGAATGGGTAAGGGAAAGGGTAGGGACGGGAATGAGATTACCCGAATTTTTTGTTGGGTAATTATATAAAATGAAATTTTAGAGATTTTGGTTAATTGAAATTTTTTTTATAATAAATAATAATTTTTTTCTAATTTATTAACAAATAATAATTTTTAAAAGATTGATTTTAGTCTAATTATCCAAATTATCCAAAAATTTTCTCGTCTATTTTCTGTTCCTTTCCCGTCCATTTTCTGTTCTTTTTCCGTCCCTTTCCCCATTATATTTTATTTTAGGATTGTATGGATAATATGTTTTGATTCCCGAATTTCCCATTCTCGTCCCATATTCATAAATTTCCCTTCCGTTAGTTTGTGGGAATATTTTAGATAGTATATTCAGATTTCTAAAATTCTCATTCCCATCCCCTATCTATAAATTCCCCATCCGATTCCCAAAAAATTCAGGCCTAATTACAACCATAATTTTAAAGCTTTATCCAAGTAGCATTTTTTCAAAAGCCCCTGCTACCAATCAGACCACTTATCTCATAAGCAAATTCAGTCGAAAAAACTTTTGATACAACACTGATGATAATCCTTGCTGCTCTTCGCCAAAATTAAATTCAGAACCCCCAAAAACTGGAAATGCAAAGGGGATGAAAGAGAGTAGCGAAGAGAACCCTATTCCCTTGACCAAATGGAGAAGATGAGAGGAACAATCCCAGATGCGATATTGGTTGAGATACTAGCTCGATTACCCTTGAGAATCATTGTGAGATTCAAATTGGTTTGCAAATCATGGAAATCAGAAATCAAATCAGCGTATTTCCGCCATCTCTTCGTCTCTCTTCACCACCAAAACTCCTCCTCATCATCATCTCATCATCATCATCATCATCATCATCATCATCATCATCATCATCATCATCATCATCATCTTCTTCTACATGGTCGCTCATGTTCACAACCAAGTTCAATCGTCCCATCACAGTAGCTATTGGCTTCCATGGATGCAAGACATGGGATCTCCCCAAATCTGTCGTCTCTTACATCTCACCTTTTAAATCGTACCCGAATCTCCCTGATTTCAACTACTACTATGTTGCTTCTTCCAATGGATTGGTTTTGATGGAGGTCGTCGTGACTCGAACCAAGAAATCAGCTTATGGTTACAAATCCTTCATTGGTGTTACAACAATGGGTCGAGATCCCTCCACCTCCAGTTGAATGTACAGCCACTGGTTTGGTGACTCATGTTGAGAACGGGTCGTATTGAGCTTTAAAGTTGTTAGGACTTGTGAAACTGGAACGTGTGAATGGAGAGTGTATGTGTATTCTTCAGAGACAGGGTTATGGAGTTTTAAGCGACTCTTGTCCTCTAGTCTTGTCTCTGCTGTTTATCCTCCTAAGAATCTCGACGGGACGCTTTATCTATGGGAATGTGGTTGGGATCGTCCTGAGTTTGGAATCCTTTTATCTTATGAATTCTTTGCCCAAGGAGAAGATGATGATCATTTTCGGGTTATACCTCTACCTGTCCCGGATAACAAATTTGTTAAGAGATGCTTGACTACTTCAAGAGGAGATGTTATGTACGTTGAGATACTCTACCGGAGACTGAAGGTTTGGAGGTTGAGTAACAACAACAACAACAACTCTGACTCTAAGTGTGAATGGTGGCGATTGTCGCTGGAAGAAATCCACTTGGCGTCTATAAAATTTGATGTCCATTGTTTTCCGTTGGCTATGAATCCGTTTGATACTGATGTCATCTATCTATGGAGCCGAGAACACAACTGTGTGGTGTCGGGTAACTTGAAGACTCCAGAGTTTGTTGTTCATCAAGAATCGAAGGATTGGAGTGGAAGTGAAGGTAGATGCATAAACAAGTACGATTCTAAGAAGTATATGGAGGGTTTTCGCAATGCAGCTTTTACTAATGTCGTCTTGTTATCCCAATTTGTGCTTCCACTGTGGATGGACTCGGTACCACGTCTACCACATATTTGGTAGCTCTCTCTCTATCAGCATCAGATAATGCTATTTTTGTGATCTTAATGACTTGGATACTCTCAAATTCTCTGTGTCTTGTGTTTCTAAATTCTTGTTTTGCCTCTAAATATCTTGATTAGGCATTAAGAATCTTAATGTAAGTGATCTTGAACCAAAGAAAGATGTTGGCCTAGTCTAATATAACAGTAACCTTTGATCAGAACAAATGATTATAGAAATCATCATGGTAAGTTTTGCATAAAAAAGGTTACAGAAGGAAGAAAAATTCTACAGAAGACGGTCTGCTCAGGTTTACTTTAGATTTAGATCCGATCCGGTTTAATTCCGGTTCAGTATATCCCGATCAAATAGAATACTGTATTTACTTTTTAGAGGTAAATTAGCATAAAACGGTTACAGATGAGAGCTGTAATAATAAATAAAAAAAGTTATAGAAGAAAAGATTCTAGAGAATACGGTGAGCTTCGGTTTACTTTAGATTTAGGTGCGATCCGGTTTAGTTTCGGTTAAGTTTATATTTTCCCGATAAAAAAGAATATTGACCTCAAAAATAAAGGATATAAATCTTGTCATAGTTCTATAAACAAATCAAGAATATGCACGTGGCAAGCGATGAGAGGCTAATAAGCATCAGCCCTCTCCACCGACGAATCCAATCGACGCCGGACTCAGCTCCACTGTTTGTTTTACCGTCACCGTTCGGATTTCCTCCGTACAGATGCTGAATCCCTTCAATGTCATCCTTCGCAAGCTCCACCTTCCGATCTCCACCGGAAATCGCCGGAAACATAATTGCATCTTCCACCGACGAGTGACCCAACCCTAGAAGATGACCGATCTCGTGAACCGCGACCGATTCCAGATCCACAACCGACGTCACCGGCAATATCCTACGGCTAATTTCGCCGTCAGAGATCAGCCAATCCTCGTCTCCGTCGAGATGGAACATCCCCGTAGGCGGAGAAGACGCGTGCGCTAGTGTCCCCATCGCTCCATCGAACGGCTCTCCGTCTCCGTGATCGCCGACGAAAAATCCGATCACTATATCGACGCCGATTAGTGACTCCGAGCGCGTGAAATTCAGCGGAGTGACATTCGCCCAACGCGCGAAGGCGCGTGCGAACACTTCCTTCACGTCGTCGGTGAGATTGTTCTGCGGCGCGAACGCGTATCTCAGATCTCGTTTCCGTTTCGGCCACCGCGGTTTCCCGGGGAAAAACGAGTATCTCTCCGTCGTACGGAGTTTCTTACCGGCGTTCATCTCCGAGGTCCCGTCGATCATGTCGGGATTTCCGCATCTCGGTTTAACGATCTGCCGGAGAGTAGACGCGTCGAGTTTACCGGTGACCTTGAGGTTGAAATTCCTCTGGTAAGTGTTGACGGCCGATCGGAGGACGTCATCGAAATCGTCGGTGAAATTATCGACGACGGAGGCGGCGGAGATGTAACCGAAACGACGGAAGTATTGTTTGAGTTTGGAGAGGCCGTCGGCTTTGTCTCCGACGTGACAACCGGCGAGTTTCTCGAAAGTTTCCCACGCGCTTCGGGTGGCGTTTAGGAACTGTAACGGTGGTATGGAAGAAACGTTGTGGTAGAATTTGGCTGAGATTGGATTCACTATGAAGAGGAAGAGGAAGCTCAAAAGCGTTAGCTGTTGCAGAAATCTCATTTTTCTTGAAAAGTTTTTTATACTTTTTGGGGAAGAAAAGATAAGTGGAGAAGCTACAGAAAGATGCAGATGCAGAATTGAAAAAACGACGTCGGGTAAGCGAACTCGCTTCCATTTTCCACACGGTTGTAAGTGGGCACACATGCCATGTTATTGAAAATCATTAATATGAAGAAGATTCAGTTCATAACGAGTCATTACCACTATTTGACTAATGGATCCAAAAAAATGTTCATATATGTAAATTCAAATAATCAAGAGTTCGAATATAAGTTAGCACATTTTATCAAGAATCAATAGCTCAACTGGTAAAGATTTTAGGCAAAACCTAGAGATCGCTAATTTGAATGGCTCTTGGAAATCATATAACATGATCTGATACTAAGATCATCCACAATTTTGAACTTCATGATGGCGTTCATCAGCATTTTTTAATAATTTTTGGAGAAGAGAAAATGTGGAAAAACCTTAGGTAAACCTCGGAAGAAAAATGGATGTCCAACCCTAATACCTATTTTGGGGTTCAACAGAATAAAATAATAATTTTTTTAAAATTTTTTATTTTAACTTGGTTAAACATTTAAATTATTTAAAATGAAAAAATTTATTTAGTACATATAATTTAAAACTAAACAAAGAAATTAAAAACAAAAGTAAAAGTAAAACTAATAATCTTCTAGATGTCCAAATTTATGCCACATATGCTCAAGTAGATCCGCTTGTAATAGATCATGTGTTTTTCTGTCCCGAATTTCATTACGAATACCGATCATATTTCCGATATTTGAAGCTAAATCTGTAGAGAATGACATATCAACTTGGGAACATCTGGTAAGATCGCCTTGTTCAAATTCTGTTGTATCAACCAGATTGTAATGGTCTCGTTCATTTTCCACTATCATATTATGCAAGATGATGCATGCCCGCATAATATTTCCAATTTTCTGCTTATCCCAAATGAGAGCTGGGTTTTTTACAATCGCAAACCGAGCTTGCAAAACTCCGAATGCACGTTCGACATCTTTGCGGACGGATTCTTGATGTTTAGCAAAACATCTGGTTTTTAGGTCTTGCGGTAGGGGTATTGATTGTACAAAAGTTGCCCACTTCGGGTAGATACCGTCGGTTAGGTAGTATGCATAACGGTATTGGTTTCCATTGACATAGTATTTAACCTTTGGAGCACGATCTTATAAAATGTCATCAAAAACAGGTGAGCGCTCAAGAACGTTAATGTCGTTTAAAGTACCTGGAGGTTCGAAAAACGCATGCCATATCCAAAGATCATGTGATGCTACTGCTTCTAAGACGATTGTCGGTTTTCCTGAACCACGTGTATATTGCCCTTTCCAAGCTGTAGGACAATTTTTCCACACCCAATGCATACAATCGATGCTCCCTATCATTCTCGGGAATCCACGGCTTTCCCCAACATCTAGTAGTTGTTGAAGATCCACTGCAGTGGGTCGTCTGAGATATTCATCTCCAAATAAAGATATTATTGCTTCAGTAAAATGTTTCAAACATGAAAGTGCGGTACTTTCACCCAGACAGAGGTACTCGTCAACTGCATCAGCCGCAGAACCGTATGCCATCATACGAATAGCTGCAGTACATTTTTGGATGGCTGAAAGACTAACCCTTCCAATCGCATCTCTCCTTTGCTGGAAAAATGGAACTTTCTCGGACAGACGAGACACGATACGCATGAATAATGGTCGGGTCATTCTGAAACGGCGACGAAACATATTTGGGGGATATTTGCACGATCACTGAAAAAATCATCCCATAAACGCTGATGGCCTTGCTCACGATTTCTTTCAATATATGCTTTCTTCTTCTGGTTGCGCTTTGGAACGGAATGCTCCTCCAAAACTTCATTAAGAGCATTGTTGAAAGTTTGATCAAAGTAATTGTTCCAAGTTTCCTCAAAAGATTCTTCGATGAAATCATCAAAATTAACATTGAAAGAATTGCTTGAAGATGAAGCCATGGCAAACACAAAGTATGGAAAGAAATAAAGTGTGTAAGATTTAGATGTCATATGGAACAAATTTTACAACTCGCCAATATATATATATATATATATATAATGAAGAAGCACATATCAGGTTACTAAAGCATGAAAGAAAGATGTGGTATACAATATTACACATATGTCTTGCCTAAAAGCCTAAATCTGTATGGTGTATAGCACAAAATGACAAAGTATCTATGGCCCCTCAATGTTTTTTCACCACATCTTCATAGGGTACATTGACCCTCGATTCTTTACCACCACATCCACAAAGTGAAACTTCCTCACCAACCACTACAAACAAGTAAAATGTATTTAGTCATGACCATATGATACAACAATATTATTTCAAAAATTTAAAAATATGAAGTTAACCCTGAAAAACATAGTGACTACAACGTCTAAAATTCATGAGAAAGAACCCGAGAACATTGACACTAAAAAACCTAAACCCTACATAAACGAAGATACTACATTATAATTTTGGTCACAGCAGTTCGTTAATCAGTTTAGTCTTCAAAGCCTCATCAACTGTTGATAGTGGCTCGGGTTTAGAAAGGAGCATCTCAAGCATTTTATGATTCGACGGAAGCAGTTCTTGCTTAGACAGCTTATCTTTTATTTCCAAGTCAAGTTTTCGTATTTCCCAAGCCATCTGCAGTTTTTCGAGACCTGAGCCATCCTCGGTTGTGACCGCTCCTTTGCCCTTATGCTTAGCAGCCTTGGCTGCCTTCACTCCAATTGGTCGTTCCATTGTTGACTCCTCTGAAATGATTTCAGGCTGGGAATTTGGTGACGACTGAGCTGAAGACTCTGACAATTTTCTTCTCTTTTTCAACCCAGAATCTTTCTCCGCAGCTGCTGTGCATCACTTCTGGTCATGATGCAATTCTCTCCAAGCATGTTCAAGCCCAAACTTGAAATGGTGATCATTGAAAAAAATCTGGTGAGCTGTTTTCACCAAATCGTCGTCGTTCTGGCCGCTGGTCTGCTGCTTCAATGCGGTCTCATAACATCCGCTGAACTTGCATCTTGGTCATTTATACGACCCCACCTCTGTTGTTGAAGAATCCTTGAATGTGCGACCAAAAAGCACCAGCTTTTTGGTCATTACCAATGACCGGATCCTTGCTTGTGTTTAACCAAGCGCTGATTAGGACAATGTCTTCAACTGGTGACCAAATCCTCCGTGGTACACGATCTTTAGTCACAGGACTTGGATCATCTTGTGAAAGTTGGCTACTAAAGCAGGGGACCTCGGATGAGCTAAGATCTATGGTTAGGGAAAAGTTGAAAGTGTTATCCTCTTGGCTTGCTAAGAGGTTAACGAACCCTGGCGAGTTCCCAAATGAATTCGCTGAGTCCATTTTGTTTGAGAGTTTAGGTAGGTTGAGAGGGAAAGGAAAGTGTAGAAGGTTTGGATATTCAATTCTTTTAAAGATTCAAGGGTTTTTTATATTTAAGAAAGTTAGGATTGGTGTTTTAAAGTTTCAAGGGTTTAGTAATGGTTGTCATATCGAGTTACCTACCAGCTTTAACAAATACAATAACTACTTTGCTAACCTAAACCAACCATATTCATTTAAAAGTTAAGTGATGTGATGTCTAACCTTATTTCTGCCCACCCAAGCATTGTCTGGTTTGCCTAAGGAGAATTATCTGGTTCGTCTTGCTTGAAAGAGTAATCCAACCTCACCAATAAATAGCATTAACTCGTTGTTAGTTATGGCTTATCTTTACGGACTCACCAATAAAGAGTAATCCAATAAATAGCATCTTCCATTACAACATCATAAAAAGTACTTAACAAAAGCCGCCTAAACAGTTAGCAGAAAACTATGAACTACTTAAACACGTAGGCAATAGCAGCAAACACACAAAGAAGAATGAGACATAAGTAGCTATCACCTTGCTTCAACCTTTCAAGTTCATCATGAATCATGCGGATCTCCAGGGTTAGTACTCCATTAAGCTCTTGTATCTCCTCGTTAAGTTCTTCCCTAAGCAACCTCACCTCCTCTTTTACTTCTCCATTAAGCCGTTCAACCGTTTGCCCCAAGATTTGGAATTGCTCTTCCACAGCCTCATCCCACCATTTGAATATATGCTGAAAACTACCCTATACAACAAAACAAGTAAACCGAACTAAGCCAAAGCAGATACAAATGAAGAATGAATATACAACAAAACAAGTAAACAGAAGTGTTCAACGGACCTCGTTTATCCACTCAGGACAACGGTAGAACCTTCGTCCACAATTCAATCCACCTCTCATGGATTCAAGCTTCACCGCTAAGCCACAGAAACATCTCTGTGGAATACCATAGTTACCATCGGCGTATGCCCAAGCCATGTTCTCGATAGCTTCGTCCTCAGACGTCGAGGGCTCGCTCCAGCTGATAGGCATTGCTAACCTCGCAACAACAACATAAGCATTTCGATGGTTAACTACTTAAGCAAAACAATCAATGAAACCTACAAAGCAATATCCAATCACATAATTTTATCAACAAGAACCCTAATTTTATCATCAATTTTAAAAACTCGAATATGCGAAATCCGGAACCGATTAACCATAAGAACAATGAATCACATACATATCTTACTAAACACCAAAAGCCCCAAAACAAAAGTTCCCGCAGAACCCTAATTTTCCCATAATTTAGTTAACCATAGTATCGATTCAAACTCCCGAATAAAACGAAATTAAAATACTTCAAAAAGAAACAGACGACGTACCTTACTGATCCATCGGAGGGGAAAAGACGATTCACCGTCGATTCGATCGAAGGGGAAGATTTGTGTCGAAGTCGCGATTATCGCAAATCGCCTTGAGAGTTTTTTTTTTGATAAAAATAGAATGCAAAATAAACCCCAAAACTTCGACCACGACTCTAAAAAATTTTCCCCAAACTTCACCCAATCACTGCTTGCCACGTAGGCCGTTGAACCTCGACGATACGGGCTCGTCAGGCTCATCCCAATGAGACGGTATCAGCGAGTTTTTGGGCTTAAACAATTAAAACAAATCAAAATAATGGTCTTCGGCCCCACGGATGAACCCCGTCCATACCGCGTTGTGGATGGTCTTAGCCTGAGATGATGTATGGATTTTGGCCCAAAACCTCTTAATTATTAAAAAAAAAGTTAGCACATTTTTAAATTATAAAGAATTTATTTAGCATATATGAGTTCAACTAAAAGTAAGAATTTGCCGTTTTCCTAAAATTCCCTAAACATTTGCCAGATGACAGACAAGCATTTAAGCTTTAACTATATGTATATGAAAATCTAGAAGAGATTTAAATTGACAAACTTTTTAGGTATTAGAGAGAACACGTTTTTTTCACCTTTTGTTTGTCATTCTTGGGCTTTGATTGGTAACCTGTGGAATTGCGGAATTATGTTTTTAAAAGCAATTCCACAGATATTTTGCCAATCAACAAAAACTGCAGAATAAAAAATAAAACGTGAAAATGTAGTCTGCGTTTTTGTTTAATGAAAAACCATTAAGCAAAAAAGTAGGTTTTAAGTTGCCTATTTCATTCCGCAAGCGTCATTCCGCAGATATGCATTCCGAAAAACTGTTACCCATCAAAGCCTTGATCTTAATAAGATTTAGTTCTGATTTTTGGATTTAATACTTCAGACAATATCAGGATCTAGTTTGTTATTTCATTTCTCTTCTCATTTTTTCAGAAATTACATCTCTTACGAATTGGTAAAAACAAATTCCAAGAGTTTATTCGGAATTATTGTGTCCATTGTCGCTCAATTACTTGCATATGAATGTAAATCTTTATACCTTCTTATGGACTGTATATCAACGTCGATGAAGTTTTTTTATATGTTTATCAATCATTGTGTGTGAATTTTATTGATCGATTGAGTACCAAATCAGGAGAGTATGTTTTACGACAGATCTGTCTTCTCTAGATCTATCGAGTCTTTCAGAGCTGCTTTGAAGATCTCTGTTATAAACTGTTTGGTGAACCCTGCATATAAAGTGTTTTGGTGATGCAATACAGACGAAATTGAGTTCTGTCGATTTTTAGATAAAATTTTCTGGAAAATCAGATATTAGAGCTTGTGTTGGAGTGAGATTGGCGATATTAAATTTCTATTAAAATTCTGATTGGTAACCTGCAGAATGGAGAAACAATGGAATAATTACGAAATGAAATAATCTTCTTAAAATTTAATTTTCCTTTGATGACTTCATCTTTATATTTTTTAAGCAAAAATGTAGATTGTGTTTTTGTGTTTATTTTTTTTACAGATTTTCATTAATTGATAAAATATTTATGGAATTACGTTTAAAAATGAAATTCCACCATTTCGCAAATCTATTATATAAAGAATGAGTGAAGTCTCACAAGTGTGACACCGAAGCATCTCTTTTTCTGTCACATCAGCTCTCAAAAATTTATTTTTAAAAAAATTAAAAAATATATACAGTCAAAAATAAATTTAATAATATAATTTCAAAAATCTTTTGGATGTAAATTTTCTCTTCTCCATTTATTGTTCGTTCTTCACAAATATAAAATCCAAACCATTTGTTCGCTCTTCATATTT